ATCTTCATGATGATTTCTTCCTAGTTTGTGATCATTTTTGCAATTTTGACTCGTGAGTTGGAGTCTGTTGTGCTTTGTATTTCTTCAAGACAAGCGCCAGCCGGATTTTGATGGCAGAGCCTTCTTTCTACTGATTGTGATGGAAGAGGTGGAAAGAAATACAGCTGCACTGTCAAAATCCCGTGTTGATGTTATGTAATGGGAAGATAGCAAAGTGACCTTTTCTGGTGTAAATGGGTGCATCTAGACTGGCAAGATTTTGTGCAAAAGCAACTGCTTTTGCGCAAAAACTTGCCAGCTGTCTACACTGGCCGCTTGAATTTGCGCAAGAGCACTGACTTTGTAATGTACAAAATCAGTGCTTCTTGTGCAAATACTTTCATGCTCCCGCTCGGGAAAAAGCCCTCTTGTGCAAGAATACTTGTGCAACAGGGCCAGTGTAGACAGGGAAGAACTGTTTTGTGCAAAAAAGCCCCGATGGCTAAAATGGCGATAGAGGCTTTCTTGTGCAAAATCGTGTCTAGACTGGCCACGGATGCTTTTGCACAAAAGCACTTTTTGCGCAAAAGCATCAGAGCCAATCTAGATGTGCTTTTGCGGAAATACTTTTAACGGAAAAACTTTTCCGTTAAAAGTATTTCCGCAAAATCATGCCAGTCTAGACGCAGCCTATGTGTCTCCCTTGTGTGGTGAGTCAGTAAAAAAACCAGTGCACCACTGGGGGATGTAAGTGGTGGATAGGCCTTTTACTGGCTCTCTCGACTGAGGCGAATTTCACCCTTTGAAAATACAGGTTGAACCTTTCTAGTCTGGCACTCTCTGGTCTGGCACCATCCAAGGTCCCGCACGATGTTAGTGAGCCAGATGTTCACTTATCAGGTGTGCAGCCAAGTTTCCCGTGGTCCTATAAAGTTTGTTTACAGCCATCAGTCCTGGTTCTCAGTGCTCTGTGCTGTGATTTAGTGCTAAGAGCCCAGCGTGCAGTGGGAGTGATGGTCATGCTGCTAGACATGATTGACCCCCTGTGGTTTGGCAACTTCTCTGCTTTGGCACAGATCAGGTCACACGGGTGCCAGATGAGAGAGGTTCAACCTGCAGCAGCTAGCAAATAATCACAAAGTAGGCCGTGCGCACAGTAGAGCATGGACCTGAGAACGCTCGCCGCAGACCTTTTGCATTTCACTCTGAATTTCCCAGGAGGGGTTTGTGAAATTTGCCTTGCTTTGTTCAAATTGCAGGGCCCTCCTTGAGCCAACCTGCCTCCAGCTGTCCTGAAAAATGGAGCAATTTTGGAGCAGGCACCTCTCCACTTTGCAAATTTCACCTGGAGAACTATTTTTTAATACTGAAACCTGCAAAGGGGCCAATTCTCAAAGTCTTTCCCTGCAACACTGGCCTTTTTGCAAACACGTCCATGTTTCCCGGCTCTGGAACGGGCTGGACTAAAACTTCAAAAAACTACCATTGCCCGAGAGTCATGGGAAAATGCGCCATGTTTTTCAGATGCTGCTAACCCAAACAGAGATAACTCACAGCATCCATCCTTCACTGTCCCTCCTGGGGCAGCAGAAAGTTCAGTAACCAACAGTCCTGATTATCTTTAAAACGTCTGATGACTGAAGGTTTGCGCTAATCAAGTGGAAAGAACATACCCATGGTGATGAAAGGCATCGAGTGTTCCCTGAACTGGACAAGCAGGTTCTGGACAACATGAGGCATATTTTATAGAAGACACAAAAGCCTTGATCAAACGATTCCCATTGACTTCAACGGGCTTTGGGTCAGAGCCAAAAAAAATGAACAATGCATCTGAGCCACTGTAAAGGAAGCTGAGCATGAGAGTTGGCGGAATGGCAGAAGGGCTGATGCACAAATATCGGTACGGATTCATACTGGCTCCACGTTTGATTCTTCGAGCCAAATTATTTGGTATCTGAGAGACTCCATTTATTTGTGAAACTCTCCACAAATCCCAAATTCATGAGTTCTGGCAAGAATATTTATCGGCCTGGGAAAGTAAACTGGAAATTCACTATTTATTTATGTTGGGAAGCACCTGGCTCCGTAGGGCTGGACACAGAACGATTCTTGTCTTTGAAAGGCCTCAGTCTTCCAGAGCTGGACTTGGGTCCTGCAGGTGCTAAGTCCCAGACTTAACGTCAAGCACCACACCAGCAAAGCCACTGAAATCAATGGGACTATGTAACGGCCTAAGCTGGTTTCCAATGAGGCAACGGGAAGGACACCATGTGACTTAGGAGACCAATCACACACCACGCATGACAAAGAGCAAAGAGTCAAAGAGAATGATTTGCCCATGGGCTCTAAACCCGGGTGGCCAATAAGTTCTGTAGCAGTAGCAGCTGGACTGGCTACTTCTATAGCCAACTAGCCACACTCAACTGGCCAAATAGCCACACGTGGCTAGCGTGTTGGACACCACGGCTCGAAACAATTCATCCAAGCTCGTTAGTGCAGGCTCACCCCTTCCCTGGAGGCAGGGTGGGGGGGGGTCCTATCTCGCAGTGAGAACTAGGGACCCACCTGCATGAAGGCTAGGCCCTTAGGGTATGTCTAGACTACAGGCTTACATCAACATAAGTTTTGTCGACAGAATCTGTCGACAAAACTTATGTCGACATAGAGCATCTAGACTACATCCAGTTCTGTCGACAGAGCAAGCCGCTTTGTCAACATAACAGTGTGGACGCAAAGGACAGTGCAGATGCAATAATGCCTTCTATCGACAGAACTCTGTTGACAAAAGGCGTTATTCCTCGTAGAATGAGGTTTACATACGTCGACAAAACTGCTGAGTTTTGTCGACGTTATGTCGACATAACTCAAAGGCAGTGTGGACACAGGTATAGTTTTGTCAACAAAAGTCCACTTTTGTCGACAAAACCCTGTAGTCTAGACATACCCTAAATGTGTAACTAATATGAGTAGCTTCCTAGGTAATGCCCCATCTGTATCCCTAACATGACAAAGCCCATTTTCCTGCATAGCGGCGTGGTGTCTCGTGGTTTCACACCAAAGAAGAAAGGCACGTGGGTACAGCTGGCTTCTAAGGAACCGTCTCGACCAGCGACAGGCCAACATCCAAGGCTAAATAGAAACACTGCTACCCTGGGTATGTCTCAACTACATCCCTCTGTCGCCAGAGGGATGTAAATTAGACATACCGAAATTGCTAATGAAGCGGGGATTTAAATATCCCACGCTTCATTAGAATAAAAATGGCCACCGCTTTTTGTGGATGCGACAATTTGCCGGCAAAAAGCGGCAGTCTAGATGGGGATCGGTCAACAAGGAAAGCCTTTTCCGACCGATCCTGTAAACCTTGTTGCATGAGGCATAAGGGATTGGTCGGAAAAGGTTTTCCTTGTCGACCGATCCCCGTCTAGACTGCTGCTTTTTACTGGCAAAGAGCCGCATTGGCAAAAAGAGGCGGCTATTTTTATTCTAATGAAGCGCGGGATATTTAAATTCTCACTTCATTAGCGCTGCGTCGACAAAAAGCAGTGGCCATTTTTATTCTAATGAAGCTCGGGATATTTAAATCCCCGCTTCATTAGCAATTTCGGTATGTCTAATTTACATCCCTCAGGCACCAGAGGGATGTAGTCTAGACATACCCCCTGGGAGGTTCCCGTGGCTTCTGCCACAGAAGACAGAAAGGCCCCAGAACTATTTAAAGGTGCGCTGCTTCATTCCAACACACTGCACATGGGCACGGGACCTGCGCCATGTCCTGCCGGATTCCGAACATCTCAGGGGCATGACTGAAGCCCCATCCCCCAGGCCCGAGGTGGTCTCGCCGTAAGCACGTTGCGGGACAAGAGCAATTCCCTGGACCCCCATCACAGCGCTGTAATGCACCCATGGCCCTCGTCTGCCCCAATGGAGTGAGGCCTGAGGCTGAAGGCTCTTCTGCTTTCTATGGATAACAAGGCCTCCCAGCCCTCGCGCCGGCACAGAAATGGCCCCGTGCAAGCAGCGGCTTCACAGCCGTTCTGGTTCTGGGTCACGTCCCGTGAACGGCTACAGGGGGACTGGAGTAGAGGACAGGCCCACGTGCAGAGTGAGCTGGGGCAGGCTGGGGGGCACAGCCTGGGGCGCTGGGGCATTATAGGAACGAGATGCAGGTCAGTACAGCGTGGCCCGGGCGTTTTGGTCTTCAGGAGAATCGTTATGAGGCACCCTCAGTGCCTGAGCTTGGATAAAGACACAGCAGCCAGGAAGGGCAGGAACCCGCTCCTGAGGTTTCCTAGGCTTCCTCCGACACACAAAGCAACGGCCCCGGAAAGGCTCTGTGGGTTTGGATTAGGCCCTACGGGTGGTTTTCTTTCTCCAGCCTAGTGACACTTCTGAAAGACTCTCTCATGCCCCCTTCTTTCACTTGGCTGAGCGGACAGATCACCCCTTCACCCTGGAGATGGGGACCTTTCAGACAAGTGGCATCTGCCAGCGATCGGCGACGGGTTATTTATTTTTAATTTTTGTATAGAGCACACTCTATAAATCTTGCCTGAGGCAATGTGAAAACCCCCAGCCTATTTTTAACTTCTACTTCCCCCAAACTCAGGAATGCTCTCCCGTTCCCCAGAGCTAGAGCCCGGCAGGCTGGCTGATTAAAATGGCTTAAAGGAAAACGCGAAATACTTTCGGAGTTCCTTTGCCAGGGTGTATAGCTTGGAAAGGCTGGGGAAACGTGCCTACTTTGCCTTTGACATCTGGACGCTGCTTGCAACACTGCCCCGACGGTTACGGTTCACAGTGGGAATCGATTTTCTCACCTGGGCAAGAATGTGCCCCTCTGCCGAGCGAAAATACTCCACCAAGGGCTCGGATTCCTTCCAGATGGAGCAGTTCTACCGACCTACCCAGCCCAGAACCATTCCCTAGTGCTAGTCGTTGGTGCAGTGGGCCCAGCAGAACACTCCACAAAGCGCCCCACGTTCCATACTCCAGCGAAACTGAATGGAAATTGCACTCACCTGCTCGACTCTGTGTCTTGCTACTTCCTGCTTAACGGGACAGCAGTCAGATCCCCCACAGCAGCCCTGTTTAAGGTCTATGCCATGAAACGGCCTCCCCTGCAGAAGGAAGACAGGGAGAGAACGGCAGCATGAGGTCTTTCCAGCTCCTCTTGCAGCAACTTCCCCGGTTTGCTGAAGGCGTGGCCCTGCAGGAGGTGCGTAAAGGGAAAAGAATCCTTCCCCGGCTGGCAAACCAGTAGAAGCAGCCAGGGGGAGCAAGGGTAAGACTTAACTCCCCCAGAGCGTCACCTGTAGCTGGAACGGCTGTGCAGCTGGGGAGTGGGGAGCAAGCTACCCACCATGCAAGAGGCTGACGCAGACCCAGGGGCAGCACCCTGCTGATTCAGCGATGCCAATGGTTGCCACCTTCTCAGCCCTGGCTCACAGATCCCGCTGGGCACAGGCACCAATTGCTGTGCCTGGCCACACGCCATCCAACAGCACCAACGGGAGAGAGAGAGCATGGAAGAGATGCTGCTGGGTTGCTCTGGCCAGGGGTCCCAGACAGGGCCGTCCTTAGGGGTTAATGGGGCTCTTTGCGGTACTGTTAAACTGGTGCCCTATGCCCAATGGCAGCCCAGTGGGGGAGAGGAGCTGATGATTTTTTGGGAGCAGCGATTTTATGATCTTCTGCAACACAGGGATGAAAAAGTTTCAAAGCAAATTTTAAACTCAGGTCCCGTCGAGCAACACAGTCCATCCAGAAAGGGACAGGCTAGACCAGGGGTTGGCAAATGCCTGGTAAATAGCTTCCGGACCACCCAAACGGCTTTATCACAGGCCCGGGGTTCTGCTAATACTTCCGCGTGGCTTTTTCAGTTTTAACTTGATCTTCATAGGAGACAGGAGAGCCAAAGAGCAGGAACTGGAAGAGGCGGCTGGGTGGACATTAAGGCCCAGGGGTGCCCCACATTTTTGAGCGCCCAACGCAACTGCATATTCTGCGAATGGGTAAAGGTGGTTCTGGTCTCAGGAAGGGAGCCTGTAGCTTAGCCCCTCAGTATCCAGATGAGCATTGCCTTGCAATCTACGTCTCCTTGGACCCACCTCTCTGCCCGCTGGAGCCAGTGGGAGCCGGGGACTTGCTGCTGCTCCATGCATTTGCACTAGAGCACAACTGTTTGGTGTGCGGTGCTGCAGGCAGCTCACACAGACAGGCAGGACAAAGGAGGATAGTGTAACCGTGCTGCCGTAGTTCATCTCTCCCCTTAGCATCTGGCCCCAGCAGCGATAAAGCCTTCCACTTACTGACAGCCAATGGAGTTTTGCTGTGTGCAGTGGGCCGGCTTCATGCGTTTGACACAGAAGGTTTGCTGCTCATGGTTGTGTCTACTCTACAAGATAGAACTGTCATCCAGACAAATCCGACTTGCTCTGGGTAAAAGTTTTACACAGTGAAAGCTCACGAGGTCGGCCCACTTTATCAGTGAAAGAGAGAGATGCACAGTGGTTGCTCCCCCAGCTAACAGTTATTTACATTGGACTTGATAATAAACAAAAGGATTTGTACTGTGTGTAAAAGGGAGGATTTCAGTGTTTTCAAGTGAAAACAGAGCAAAGTAAATTACTAAATTAAAATGATCCAAAACCGCTTGGCTAGTTCTAATCCACTAAAAAACTTTTAGATGCAAATACTCACCCTACACAGCGGCTCTTATCTCAGTAAAAGCTTCAAGACAGAGTTTTTCTTAACTCAGAGTTCTCCATTGTCAAGTCTTCCCTTGGGGTGGGCCAGGCTATTTCAAAGGCCAGCTGAAGACAAAAAGACAGTTGCTTCTTGTTGCTTAAATAGACTCTCTCGCAAGACGGGATCCCTTTGTTCGGCATAGGGTTGTGAGCAATTAGTTGACTATCCACTAAGCAAAAGTTTATCGGATAGTTGACTAGTCCCTTGATTAGTTGCTTACCTCCCCCCTGTTGCCTCTCTCAGATGGCTTAAAGTTGGTTCCCCCTAGTACTGTCTCCACAGGGGGCAAGGGTAGCAGGGACGAGCCAGGGAATCAGTTGATTCCTGGCTCACGCCCAGTCCCAGATATGGCACCTCTGCTTTTTGTATGTATTAAGAGCCTGTTGGTTCTTAATACATTTAAAAAGCAGAAGCACAGCAGGGGGTGACCCGGTGTGAGCTGGGACAGCTGATTCCTGGCTCACGCTGAGTTCCCCCCACTGCGCTTTAGTGTTTTACATGTATTAAGAACCAGCAGGCTCTTAATACATTTAAAAGGCTAAAGCACAGCAGAACCCCACTGCGGATCCCCTGCTCATCGACTAGTTGATGGAACTAAATTTAACTCAGCATCCCCTATCCCCATGAAATAATACCAGAGTCAAGACGGATTCCGGTCCCAGGTGGCATGGTCACAGTCTTTCTAGGACCAACCACAGTTTGGGCTCACAGGACAAACAAGAGTATTCACAGTTCATTGATTTGCTCACTGAGACATTAAGTTTCTGGGGCATTGGCAAGGGCCCCTCCTTAGCACATTTTTAGTTATAAAACAGATCCACAATTCCTATTTCTAACTTGACATACGAGGATGATACATTCACCGAATAGGATCTACACATTCATGCTGTCAAAACTTATTTCCCTCTTATCTACTCATGTAGCAGACTTTTCAGTTGGCTCGCATACGCCACATTCCTCGGCCCAGCCTCTCTCTTAAGGGATCTACATCTCACCGGGTAAGTTTCAGGTGTCATCTGAAACGGTTTAAAAACCAAATCCTTGAGTTTACCATAGTCTGAAGCATCAGCAACAGGCATCTTATTGTGTATGCCCAAGGCTTCTCCCTTTCAGGTTTGCAACCAGCATGGGCATTTTCCGATCCTCGGGTAAGGAATGGATGGGGCACGGTCTCTCACAGGTGATGAAAATTTCGGTGAGGTCTGAAAATTCATCATCAGCTGGGCCCAGTCCATCCCACTTGTGGATTTTTGGAGAGGTGGATCCTCCGGCAGGGGAGCGCCGACTCTTCCAATCCCGTACAGACAGATCACGACGTTGCTCTTTCTCCCTCTCCTCTCGAGCAGCTTTTGGGGCTTCTAATTCTTTGTCTAAATTTCAAGGGTCATTCATGGGTTTCTCTGGGGGCTTCCCATCCTTTTTCAGTTGGGGTTTCAGTTCCAGGGCTCTCTCCTGGGCAGCTCGTGCTTCTGTCTCAACCTTCCTCAACTCCATTTGTCTTTTATGTTCTTCCTCCTCCTCGGCAAGGTGGGCCCTGCGTAGTTCCAGTTTCTTTTCAACCTCCCTCTCCCTCACCTTGCTGATTTTCCTGCCTCTATTTCCCTTACCCGAAAAAAAGCAAACCAAATAACAAACCAGTAACCACATTGTCTGCTCTCCAGCCACCACACTCAGCACACACTTCAAATCATGCCTAGCATCCAGCTGCGCACATGAACCTGCTTGCTACACTGCTGCGACTGGGGGAAAAATCACAGAAGGCCCCTTTTGGGGGTTGGGTTCCTGGGTGCGGAGTCCTCCCAGCACTGAAGGGGTTCAGGGTCTGTGTGCTCTGCAGAGGGGTGGTTACCCCAACTCTGTGCTTTGACTGGGGGAGATTAAGGCAGCAGTTTTCAAACTTTTTTTTCTCATGACTCAGCTGAAGAAATTGCTGATGCTCACAACCCACTAGAATGTGACTGGAGTGTGGGCTCCGGGGTGGAGCTGAGGAGGACCTTTGGGGTATAGAAGGGGGCTCCGGTTTTTGGGGGAGTATCAGGAGGGGCTGACCTCGAGCGGCTCCCAGTCAGTGGTGCAGCAGGGGGGCTAAGGCAGTTTCCTGCCTCTCCTGGCACCGCAGACCAGGCTGCACCCCAGAAACAGGTTCCCAGCCAATGGGAGCGCGGAGCTAGTACTCGGGGCAGGGCAGTGCGTGGAGACCTGGGCGCTCCCCCTGACCTAGGAGCCAGGCCTGCTGCCGGCCACTTCTGGAGAGGTGCCAGGACAGGCAGGGAGCTGCATTAGCCCCCCCACTGGTCACCTGATCCCCAGGCAGCAATGGGCCCCACCGCCCGCCATTCCACCACCCAGTCCTGGGTCATGACACTAGGCTAGAGGATTTGGCCCAGCAGGACAGGGTGGTGGGGAGCCCCACGGAGCAGAAAAATGGGCATCAGTGGCATGGCCAGCACACGAGGGGAGAACCCAAGCGGGTGTCTGAGATTGCACTCACGGTGGCAGGGGCAAACACAGCTGCGGCAGGGGCAGCAGAGGTGCGAAGGGGCCATGCTGAGTACAGACCCACCTGAAACAGATAGGGACGGACTCAGCCCAGCTCAGCTGCACCTCGCGGGGACTGCACCCTGGCAGGCGCGTGCAGTGAGCGAGTGTGCGTGTGAGCTGGTGAACCACACCCCCAGCTTGTCAGCCTGATGTAGCCCACGCACGACTACCCGTTCATCGCAACCCACGGAAGGCCTCAGCTGGGCAGGAAGCTGCCGCTCCCGGGAGAGCGACTGCATACGAGGACCCAGAGGGATCGTGCCTGAAGCTGTCTGCCACATCGCGTGAGCCTGTGGAGCACCTGGAAGCATCAGCCGGTGCCCCAGGAGGCAGCCGGATTGCACAGAGGGGCTGGCCATGCCCTACCACCATTCCATCTCTACAGCCCAATAGGGTTCCACCCCATGCTACCCGTGCGACACAGCAGCCCAAGCACTGTAGCTAACACCCCTCCTGTGAACCATCAGGAAGCAGGAGGTGGGACCTGTTTGGTGGAAATCTCTTGACACAGGAAATCTCCTCTCTCTTGAGCCCGGGTTTGTTGCCCCACAGGGATCGTGTCTCTGTTCAGGCTTTTGCTCCAGGTCTGGGGAGGTGGCAGGTACAAGCTCTTATTTCCGGGGCGAGGCTGCTTAGCAAATAGATTTCATTACGGGCTGCGGTTGTTTTTATGCACGTATTCCGGATCTTGGTGTAGGCACTTTTTAATTGCTGAAAAATAAAGTCAGGAAGAACTCTCATTTTTGGGGGGTGCAGTATTTTACTGCCAAAGGAGCCCTCCTGGGGAAGCTAGAATGTCTGAGGCCACTCAATCCCCCAGATGAAGAATCTCTCTGTGAACAACCGCAGCTTGGTAGACACAAATCATTGACTCCTAGAACACTAGAACTGGAAGGGACCTCAGGAGGA